GGCTACGAAGTTCAAGACCAAAGTGCTGGCAGGTTTGGTATCTAGTAAGGAGCTGCTTTCTGGTTCAGGGATGACTATCTTCTCTGTGTCCTTACATAGTCAAAGAGGCAGGGAAACTTTTTAAGGTCTTTTAACAAGAACATAAGTCTCATTCATGAGGGCTCCACCCTCATGGCCTAACATTACAAAGACCCCTCCCACCTCCTAATACCATCACATCAGGGGTTAGGTTTCAACGTATGAATTTTAGAAGGACACAACATTTTCAGTCTATAGTAACTGTCTTCAGATCTTTTCTTAAGAGCAGATTTGAAGAGAGTGAGAGCACGGGTCACCTAAGAGAGGGGCTGGGCTGTCTAAGATAAAAACCATTGTTTGCCCAGAAATTTGTCCAGAGTACAGCCCTGGCCTGTGCAATAGGAGATGTGAAGGACCACAAAAAAACTTGTCTGTTTGGTTCAGAAGGTTTTTAATTATCTTCTAAAGTGATAAGAATAAGAGAAACATGGAGAGGAATATGGCAATAAGATAGCTGGCTGCCTCTATGTGCAGGCCTTTTCAGGGCATCTTCAGAGTTTGGAAACTGGGTATCTCACTTGTCATCCTGGTGAAAGGCCCGCCTCCACCATAGCGTGGGGTTCAGTTGGTGACTAGTTCTAGAGTGCTCCCTGTCTTCCAGCAGCAACTCAGTGAGGAAGGGAAAGCTCAGCACAGAAGGCTGTAGAGGTTTCTGGACCTATGGGACACAGGGCCATGTCTACCGGTAGTTTCTGAGTTAAATGCACATGAGACAAATGAGCCACAATACTGAAAATGACTCAATGTGGTTGCTTCAGCTACTTTCAAGTTATATAAGCCAGGTTTAAGCAACTGCAATTATAATTCTACCAGACTATATAGTTCCATTTATATGGCTATGGACTATTAAGTCTGTGTCTGTATTGCCTGGTTTTTGCTTGGCTGAGAAAATGAGATGGACAGTTCTACAGGGCTTTTACTCAAATGAAGGTTCTGGTGTAAACATGGAGCTTTAGGATGCTGGATACAACTAATAGCCATGGGTAGTATACACAAGGTAGTGTTACCCAACAACTGAAATAATAGCTTATGAAATAACTCTAACTCCCATTATTCATTTCCTCCTCCTTCTCCCTCTAGTAGCGTGACACTATACATTGCAAGGTTATTTCAATCCTCATATGAACTTTTGGCCTAGTGACTTATCCCTGAGGCATGCTCTAATCACTGAGAAATGTGCTCTGTGTCACGTCTTATTGCTTAATTATGGCTCTATTTTAGGTTCCTAAAGCCATTTGGCTTGGAAAGACCTCTCTTATGTGTGACTTTGAACATGCATCCATGTTGAGTTATCCTTGAGTTTACACCAGTGTGTTCCACTTCCATCTTTTTCTGGCTTGGGCAGTAATTACTGCCCCTTGGTTAAGCAATGCCTTGAATTATTGCAATGGGCCCTTATAATTACACTGTTCTGCACATAGAGGATACTTCAACCTTTTGTCAGAAAGGCATGCGCTTAAAGTTAATTTTCCCAATACTTGAAGTTTTTTGCTTTTTTCACTGATAAATCCCAGTGGGCCCACTGTTTTAAATCAGTGACATGCAGAAACCTCCCTGTTTTTCCAATGTACTCTTGCTCTGGTGACTACATTTTCTTTTTGACTCAAAATCTGGACATATTATCTAAGAGAGGTTTTTGTTGTTATTGTTTTAGTTGTGTGTGGGTGTTGCTCCCTAGTGTTAATGGCAACCTGAAATGCATGGCAGGTCCTAGATACATTCTTGGGTTGCAAAACAACTGGATAGAATATTTAAAATTAAGTGTTTGAAAAATTTGGGACTTCTGGAGGATACATATATATTCAGTGTTCCTACCACTTATTCCGTCCTCCCATTAATCAGATATTATGTTCTGTATCAGCCTCTATTTTATGAGTATCAATCTTAGTCCTTCGCATAGACTAGAAGCTTCTAAGGGACAAAGGCACAGATCATGTACCTCTCATACAGCTCTTCTATGTACGTAGCTGGATACAGCTGTTTGGCCCATTGCATAGGGATGATGTTGCGTTTTTAAGACAGCTGCTTGGGATTAGGAGCTTGCAAACGTAGCCTGACATTAAGGTAAAGGCAGCCTGGATAACAGTGTCCTGATCCATCCCTCCAGAGAATAGTTCAAGTCAGGCCTGGGGTAAATCTAAGTTGAGAAGGGGTATAATTACCCTGGTCCAGAGCGCCCCAGGTCTGGTCTGGCAGACTGAGTTGTATCGATCAGGGCTGTTTAAAATGCTGACTTGGCTCCTTAAGAAATACAAAACCCAAAACATCATTTTTAAAGGTCACTGGGAATGGCCTGGGTCAGAATCACCAGAGTCGGTTTTGTGCCGGTGCCTCAGAAGAGGAAGTTGCTAAAGACTCAGATAAAGCTCCTTGAGAGTACTGTGTTGCTAAATCCAAACAAAGAGTGAGAGAGGTTTATAGCCGAGTTTTTACTCTGTAATTCAAATGCCAATCCAGCAATGAAATATGCTCTAGGAATTGCAATCAGATTTTTATCATCTGACTTGCAAACCAGCTGTGCTCTCAGTGAGTACAAAGATTTACTACCTGCAATTGCTATAATTCCATCAGTAGAATTATGCAGAGATGAAAAATTCAAGAAAAAACTCTTTGTTTTCAATGCAACACAAACCTTGTTTTAAGAAACTCTGTTTCCTTGAAACTAATAAAAAATGGCTCTAATTGAAAGAAAGTAGTACGGAATCAAGGTAAAGAACTCTGAAAATTCAGGAGTTCAATTTACTCTTCAAAGTATTTTTTTTTTTAAAGATAAATGAGTAAAAATTACCACAATTTGGCGAAGACTGTCTTTTAAACAGAACAAGCGAGATAACCCAAAGCAGTTAACTCCTCAATTACATAGCACATCAAGTGCCCTGATAACCTTATGCTCTAACTACTTGAGAAGTGGAAGAGGAGAGGAATTTAACTCCAGGAAAGACAGCTCTACAAAGTGCCCCAATAAACTCATGGCAGCAATTTTGAACCAATAATTTCCTTCACAGAAACTAACAATTACTGTGAATTTGTGAATCCATATATCAAAAGTCTTTTGAATGTATTTTATGATTTTAAAAGATATCAGGGCTATCCTGGAGAAACCAGTGCATATGGTCCTCATACCAATGAGCCTCATGTCTCCTTCATTTGCTCGTGTTCCTCTCACACATGGGCTACAGCTGCTCTTGTACAAAACTGATGCAATAGAACTTTGTCACTTATATCATCACCTGAACACTCAGATACCACCCTGGGAAAGCCAAGCAAGGTATGTTTTTCAACATAATGGTTTCAGTGGACCATTTACAGAAAGCATTTCACAGGGACCAACACAACCCCAGAGTGGGTTTAAGAGGGATGCAGTGAACTTCGTGGTCTGCACTCTAGGAGATACATCAAGGCTGAAAGAGACACATCAAGGGTTTAGAACTGCAACTTGACTATCCCTGTAAGTTTACAGTGAGTCAGTCGGCCAACATGACATAAGTGAAATCTCTGGCTCTCAAATTCCTCATCTGTAAAGTAAGATCATTAAATCAGATGATCTCCAAAGCCCCATCCATTTCATTTATTTCATGGTTTTCATTTCTCCATATATCTTATATGATAAATTCTTAAGGTACTTAAACTGAGTATTAAGTTGTATCCATCTGTTTTTGGATACAATATTATAAACCTCATTTATGGATGAATTTTGCCCTAAGAGAGGTTCATATAAAAATAGCTGATTGTATCTACCATATGAAGATTCAGGTGCATTACTGCCACACACTGCTCAAGAACACATATTAAACTGTGAAATTAAAAAAAAAAAAAGATAAACGAGAGACCACATTGTAAGTGCATCAGATTTGTTTATCCCTTAGAAAAATAGGACTATATTGGACAATGAAGTTTTCAGTTTTTATGCATGTCATTCATAAATAAAAACAAATGGTCTATAAAAATGTCTCTGTTTAGAGAAGCCAGTAATGGAGAGCTATAATTTCAGGTCAAATTACATAATATAAAAATACAGTGCTCATCCTCACTACTAGAAAATAATATTCTCAAACAAACTCATTAAAAAATTATTTTTCAGAAATTCTTATGTATACTATATTACATTTGTCCTTATCCTCTTTTATTTCTTTTTTAAGACTTAAAATGCTTGACTTCACTGTTTGGAATTTCTGATAAATCAGAATTTAATGTGATATTCACAGATTTTGTAACAAAACTATAATACTTATTTACAAATTCACATATAGCACAATGTAGTGGTCAAGTATTAGTGATATAAGAAAATCACCATTTTAACAATTTAAATGCTTTATGACAGGATAATTTATATCCAACATATAAAATACATACTTACTGTAATGTCAGAAAGAAAATGTATTTTTTTCATAATCAAAAGTAGCAAGATTTTCTATATTATTTTCAATCTCACTATAGACAAGTTTTCATTGTTTAAATTTAATCAATGTGCTGATTAAAGACAATTTATTAATAGTAAAATTATACATATAGCATGTTGAGATATATATGTGTGTGTGTGTATGTGTGTGTATATATATATATCTGTGTGTATATGTCAACCAATCAAAATTCAGGTTGTAAACTAGAGCCACTTAAAAGGCAATGTGAATACAAAAGTAATGTCGGCTTAAGCTGGTAATTTCAAAACTGTGTTTTGCAATTTTAGTAAGACCCAAACAGATAATAATCTAGTAAGACCCAAATACTACTTTTGTTAGTTGTTTTCTTTTTCATGTTTAAGTTTTGTGTCTCTTTACTGATGACATAAAACAGGATTCCCAGTCCCAGCACTTCTCCCAGAAGTTAAATGAGTTTGATGAGGTATTATTATTTTTCATTTTACTTGTTCTATATTGACCTGGTCTAAAAACACTCATAACCATGTAATTTTTCTTCTGTTCTTTAAGTTACTTGTTTTCACCCAAAATAAGGGGACACTAAGGAAACTGGACCAAAATCAAGGTGAACTATGGATAAAATTATAATTATTTGAGGCTTTAGAATGGTCCAATATGTTATTTCTAACACTAATCCTAGATTTAAAAACTAATATTGTTTTAAAGAGGCATGTAGCAGCGGTCATGGCACACTCTACAACAGAAAGTCTACTGAAGCCCATATTAGCTGAAAACAACAAACACTGGCCCTTCATGTGGTCAGAGCAGCTGAACCGTTGTCATGAGCACTAGTCTTCACTTCCTGACTTGGGTGGTCTGGGGTGAGAAGGGGAGTGCTCTTGGGATTTTCACACTGTTCATCTACCTCTGGGCAAGCAGTTGGCGCTTGATGCTCTTTGTTCTCAGTAGACCCTAAAGTTACACTCTCCCCGGAAGGCTGTAATGGCCTCTCTCCATGAACCTTCTGTTTCCCTGCTTCTGCCTCTTGTTCATGCAGTAGTCTCTCCACCTCCACCTCAAGCTCCAAAGTCTCCTCATCAGCTTGGACATCCAGTTGCTGCATCAACTCCTCCAACTTCTTGGCCTTGCGGAGCTCGTTTTGCTGTATGATTGTACAAAGGTGCTCAGTGAGCTGCTCTTTAGTATCAGTCTTGCGCTGTAGATCGAGCTTGGCTGTAACATACTCTGCCTCTGCCTTGTCAAACCGCTTCCTGTAGGGACAGGTACAAAGATTGGTCCATTAGTTTTCCATAGTAGACAGAGGGCCGAGCAGCAATAAACGAACTCCAGAATTTGGTAACAAGGTATAATGAAGATACGACTATTAATACTTTAAGAACTCTTGTCTACACGTTAGACAAACTAGGCTGTTGCTGCTGAAACTTCCACAACATCCACACTTGGACTCTCCTATAGATCAACATTCTTCTGCACTTATTGTCTCTTTCCAAAGCTGTGCTTGAATGAAAGCAGGCGAAGAGGGTGAACTCAGTGGTATGCTAGCTCTAAAGGGGATAAGTCCTGATTTGTAGTGTTTGTCAACTTCCATAGTGTGAACACTACACCCTGACGAATTTCAAGCTACAATATAACTGAATGTGGAAGGGGCGGGGGGAATGCACAAAATCTGCTCTCATGAACTAGCTCCAGCTCACAACTGGTCAAATTTATAAGTGGTAAAACAGTAAAAGATGGAGAAAGAATCTCTATTATTTAAATTTATCAGGGTGACATTGGTTAATCATCACATTATCTTAGTTTCAGGTGTGCTTTATAATACATCTGCGTACTCTACTGTGTACTCACCACCTGAAGTATAGTCTCCTTCTGTCACCACATATTTAACCCCCTTTAGCTCCTTCTACCTCTCTCCAGCTCCCTTCTCCTCTAGTAAACACCATTCTGTCTATACCTGAGTTTTTTGTCCATTGGTTGCTTGTTTTATATCCTACACAGAGTGAAATTATATGGTTCTGGTTTTTTCCGTGGGACTTATTTCACTTAGGATATTTTCAAGATCCATCACGTTGTCACAAATGGCAATAATTCATCTTTTTAATGACTGGGTGGTATTCCATTGTATATATGTACCTCATTTACTTTATCCAATCATCCAACTTAGGTTGTTTATGGGGGAAAAAAAAGCAACAAATTATATAGAAAAGTCAAAAGACTGAGTTATTGTGAATAATGCTGCAATGATTATAGGGGTACATAAAGCTTTACCAGTGTTTTCAAATTTGGGGGAAGGTACGCAGAAAAGGGATCACTGAATCATAAGATAGCTCTATTCTTAATTTTTTGAGAAACCTCCAGAGTGGAGGTTTTTCATAGTGGCTGCTCCAATTTACATTCCCACAGCAGTGTGCAAGGGTTCCTATTTCTCCACATCCTCTCCAAAACTTGTTATTTCTTGTCTTATTGATAATAGCCATTTTAACAGGTATGAGGTGGTATTTCATTGTGGTTTTGACTTGCATTCCCCTTATAACTAGTGATGTTGAGCACCTTTTCATATATATGTTCGCCCCCTGTATGTCTTTCTTGGAAAAGTGTTTATTCAGTCCTTTGCCTATTTTTTTTTTTTAAACCTCATCCGAGGATATTTTTCCATTGATTTTAGAGAAAGTGGGAGAAAGAGGGAAAGACAGAGAGAAACATCGATATGAGAGAAACATATCAATTGGTTGCCTCCTGCACATGCTCTGACCAGGACCTGGGCCAGGAAGAGCCTGCAACCGAGGTACGTGCCCTTACCCAAAATCTAACTCAGGACCCTTTGGTCCACAGACCAACGCTCTATCCACTGAGCCAAACCAGCTAGAGCCCTTTGCCCATTTTTAACCAGATTTTTGTTGTTGAGAAATCTGTATCTTTTGATTAATGGATTAAAAAAGGAAGAAAAATTTTGGTGGAGAAGGATATGGACAGTGGTTGGGAAATGAATATAAACGGGACAGGGCACACCAAGCAAATGATACTGGGTGCAGGCAAAAAGTAAAAATCCAGTAGGAGAGAAAACCTCAGGATATGTTTGGGAAGGGTTTCTCAACATTGGCACGCCTGGCAACTCGAACCATGTAATTCTTTGTTGTGGGGAGCTGTCCTAGACATTGTAGGAAGCATAGCATCACTGGCTTTCTCCCACCAGCTGCCAGTAGCACCCTCTAGTTGTGATAACCAAAAATGTCTCCAGAACACTACCAAATGTCTCCACATCTTCTCCAAAGGGCAAAAATGTCCAATTTGAGAATTCCTGGGTTAAGTTATTTTTACCCTCTCCATTCTGCAACAACAGTATTATCAGACTTTTACTAGGAAACTAGAGGCCCGGTGCACAAAATTCTTATGGGGGGGAGGGAGGGCAGTCCCTATGTCTAGCCTGTACCCTTTCACAATCCAGGAACCCTTCAGGAGATGTCATACTGCTGGTTTAGGCCCGATCCCCACAGGGGAGCTCCTGTGTTGAGCGTCTGCCCCCTAGTGGTCAGTGGGTGTCATAGCGACCGGTCATTCCACCAGTTGTTCTGCCACCGTTCGGTCGATTTGCATATTAGGGTTTTATTATATAGATTTTATAAATGTCAGATATGTAAACTCCAGTCTTACTTGAAGTAAGGTAATTCTACTGGGAAAGTCATCCTGCGATTTCCCTTTATTTCCCCTTATATATTGGTTCACTGTGCTTTGACTTTTCTATATAATTTGCTGCTTTTATTTTTGCCAAGAAAAGAGTGATCTCCACTTACCAAGTAATCATTCCATTTAATTTCCACTAACAGTTGTGAAGGCTATGCTGCCTTATGACTGCCTTTACAACTCAATGTAATAAGTAATTTCTAGTACTAGAATTATAGCAAAAAAGAAATACTTGTATCTCCTAACTCAAGATTCTGTCTTGGAAGAAGAGATAGTGAAAAAATAAAAGGCTTTGATTTTAGAAAACCTGGAGTTCTAAACCTGCCTTTGCCATTTGCTAAATGTATACTTGTTTTTTTCCTTGGGTGTGAGGAAGAGAGACCCAGTCAAACTAGCTCAGGTAAAAAGCCAACTTAGGTCCTCCCTCTGGAATTTTGGAACTCTGATAGAGTGGGGGGAGTGGGTGTGGATCTGATATAGAGCCACAGCTGGTGGCAACATTGGGTGGTGAGTATAGTAGGAAAAGCCGAAATGCTTTAGAGAAACGGTGGTGTCTGAGCATTGAAAGGATAGCCTTTGACCTCTTGTAACCTATAAAATAATAAAACCCACTTTTTACCTGAGCTAGTTTGAATGGGTCTCTGTTCTTCACAGAGCTCATAGTACCAGGCCATGCTCTGAACCCTTGTTTACTAGTAGCTTATAGATTAAATGATTCGGAGTTGGTAGCTTGTCTTTGTTCTAATCAGAGATGGCCCAGGGTCAGCATCATGACTATAAAACAAAGCCAGGCTCCTGGGGAAGGGGTTGGAGACAAAGCACACAATGACTAAAAATCCAGTGGAGTGACCCGAGGTAGTTTCCTCCAATTGAGTTCTGTTTTATCTGTAAAATGGTGATAATATTACTTCATAGGAGCATTAAGGATTAAGTAATGGGAGTAGGGCAAGTGTCTGGTCTAGGGCCTGGTAGGTACTCAAGAAACAGAACTTCCCCTCCGGAGCACCAGACTTAAAAAGCACTGTCAGTATATCACTGAACATATCTCTCAAATGAAATGATGCAAAATGTAAGGATCTGGTGCTTATACTTGAAAACTCTAACTTACATAACATTTATTTATCACATTTCTTTTCTTTTTTTTTACTGTCCTCTAGTAAACATGGGAATGGGAAAGCTGTTTTTCCATTACCCTCTGTGTTAAGAGAATTGTGCCAAAGGAGCTCTGTTGGATATTTGGATCCTTGATTTCCATACTGTATAACATATCCTGTTTGTGAATGTTCTGGCATCAAACATAAATACTCTAACAACACTCTCTATACGTCAATGACTACCTCGCCCCTTCCCCCCTACTCAATCCTCCCTTCTCTGCAAGGCTGTGGTTGCCCTCAGCCAGTCAAAGTCAGCCAGGAAAGATTTACTGACCTGGGCTCATGAATGCTGAATTGAAATAAAAATTTGCAAATAGTTACCTAGGTTTCCATTAATCTTTCACCCTGGATAAATCACTGAAGATCCTGCATTTTGTTTATTTATTTAAGTCCTTCTGGCCAGAAACATGCATATATATTCTTGTACAGAGTGATTTATGTTTAAAGTATTGATTAGTTTTACAAACTGCACTATGGGCCTGCAGGTCAGGTGGATGTACCACATCAGCCTGAAGACACACTTTGGAACAGAATAGTAAGTGCATTATATATAACACAGTAAGAGAAATTCAGCTGAAATGTAATTATAGATTTAGTTTGTTATTTTAAAGGGACATTGAATGATTTAATTGTTATTTAAAAGATTCTAGAGACTGTGTCTTGGTTTTGGTATCCCTGAAATTAAAACAACAACAACAACAAAAACTCAATCATTAACCCGTGGCATGCCACTAGGTTCCACTGATCCACTTTTAGTTTTTCTGTTTCTTTTATTAGCAATTATAACTATTTGTAAGCATCAACATATCATGATTTTTAAAGTCCTGTATTAGAAGTCCTCTAGAGAACAAAGAGAAAATGTATTTAAAAAAAATAGAGTAAGACTAATCATATTTTGCAATTACTACATAGGTCCATTGGATCCTTTTATAAATCTAGGTTACTTTACCAGATCATTGAGATATTATTTTTTTAACATTTTGCCATTTCATCACCCTATGACGTATTTCCTTCTTACCAATTATTTCCATTTATATTAACAAATTAAAATAATAAGAAAAAAGAGACTGGTGAAATGACCTAAAAGGACAGTGCTATAATGAAATAAATCATTATGGTTCAATTTCCTTACTGCATTGTCCAAAGTATTACATCATCTTTCAAGAAAGTATAAAAGACTGGAAACTCCAGTTTTGTAATCTGCTCTAGCTTTCGTTGAACACAGTAGAGAATTAGTATTTTTTTTATTCTCTGCGCTATTGGCAAAGTAGAGAAAATTGACAGATGAAAACATTTTGCATTTATTAGGTCAAAAGATAACTGTTGTGGTAGGCTAAAAAGTGATCCCACAAAGATATTCTCTTCTTATTCTCCAAAATCTAGTCTCTGAAGGAAGTGTGACCCGGCTGATACCTTGATTTCAGAATCTAGCTTCCAGAAAATGTAAGAGTATATTGCTCTTGTTTTAAGACACCCAGTTGGTAGTAATCTGTTATAGCAGCCCTAGTTAGCCAACACAAATGCACATACAGCCAGTCTACATTCTAGATGGTGATACTGTTCATATACGTGACATCTCAGAGTATGTCTTCAGAAAAACACATCCTAGATGAATGTTCTCAAACTCACAAATCAATGAGTGAAAAGAGGATAAAAAGAAAATGTTATTTTTCATAGTTAATAGTTTCAATAGGAAGAACTTAATCAATCCATATTTTACAAGAATCTGGACGATCCTATATGGCTGGGAGGCTGTAGCTGCGTTCTTTTTTTTTTTTTTTAAATAAGTTTTGGAGTCAAACATTACTTGATACAAAGAGGTTTGTGATGCTTAGGTTCTTATTACAATTTTTAATGAAGCTGTTTTCCACAATCCCTTTTATTCTCACTTCTGTCGATTACTCATAAAATGACTTAAAATTATACATGCATGTGCACGTGTGTGTACATGTGTGTGGGGGAGCGTCTGTGAAACAGAGGTGGCAAATAGTGATAATTGTTTTTCCTGGTATATTGAGGGTTAAAGAAATGTTCTACATGCAGCCACTCTGAGTTTTACAAGCTGGTCTGCACAGCATATGGCAGCACTGTCATTGTTGTTGCCAGCAGCAGCCGCAACAGCACAGCAGCAATGCTCAAGTTGGCTCACTCAAAAGTGTTTGCCCTGATGGTGTTCTACAGAAGCCAATTCCACAGTGAACTCTGGCCTATTCAGTATCCCAGAACCTTTGTGGACACAGCACTGTACCAGGCACTAGAGAACCCGTATATAATTTTTTAAAATCAAGGAAAATCTCCCAAATAAATGGACTACCTGGGGATTAGTAGAAATCTAGACCATAATAGTATATTACCATTCTATAATTTCTCAATAACCAGAGATATAAATTTAGAAAATGTCTTAACTTTATGTATGAACAAGATACAATGCTGGTTCTGGTCACAATTAAGATTATAATAAGATTTTATAAAATAAGATTTTAAAAAATAGCCTCACACATGCAATATGGATATTCACATACAATGATGTCATTTTCAGTACCTTAAGAAATTATCATTTTGAGTTTGTTAAGAGATGTAAAAAAATGCACCATGTAAAATTTTTTTATTTTGTAAAAATTTACTGAAATTTCATTATAAATATTTCTATTTTATGGGATGTTTCCTCCTTTAACCTGTAATTCCACTTTCTTTGTGGTTCTCTGAAGGCTAAAACTATGAAATTTTAAAAATATAATGTTCAGTGTACAAAGGCATCCTTTTCCAGCCTCCTCTAGGTCAGAATTAAAACATAATCAGATAAATTTTCTGTTGAAGTATCCAGAATAATCTGAATTATTCATATAAAAGGCAATAAAGGCAAAAAAAAAAAAGTTCCTCTGGCAACCTTAAGTTACAGAGAATAAAATGTGCTAAACATCTAGGCTTAGTTTGATCTTAATAAAATCTTGGTCACCTCCTTAATGACCTTATTAGTAGAAATCTGGAACTTCTAGTTATCAGCTACTGATGGCATTAATTTAGGCAACCCATTAAATCTAACAGCACATGGTCAAACAACAATTACAAAAATCATGAGGACACCACAAACCTCTTTCTTAAATAATAAACAGTGAATTAAAAACCACAATCAAGCATTTCCGCTTTATTAAATTGTTATATAAACATTCTGATGCTGTGGTTTACCCTGGACTAATGAGGCATTCTGATTGATTTCTAGTGTTACAGAGAAAGATGCAAAACGGAGTCATTAACACAGCATTCCCTTGTGAAAAAAGACAAACCAGGATGATTAAAGCAATGTTGAAAGGACTGAAAACCCTGAAATTGGACTTAATTTTTTGCCTTTTTATCTGCTTGCAAAGTTCATGTAATTCTTTACATGTGTTAGTTCATTTTAAAAATACTCCATGATGATTTTTTCTCTTAAAAAATGCCAATGGCTGAAACCAAGGAAACACACGATAGCGAACCATTTTATACAAAATAGAATTGGAAAGAAAAAACTACCAGCTTTCAAGACAGTGGTATTTTCTTTAAATACTCATAGGCTTTAACAAATAAACTAGATGTTTCTTTAATGAAAACTGAAATGAGAACTAGGCTAATCCCTACGGAGAACCTCAATCAAAATTTCTTTACAGAAAAACCATAGAGTTGGCATTAGAATTATAATTTGGGGGCAAGTCATTCAGATATTTAAAGAGTCTTGAACATTAAATACCCGATGCTTTAGTAAGAAAGACTAAAATGTAAATAAACAATGCAGGAAATAATCTAAAGGGAATATGAACAAGGGTAAGGGGTAGGGCAAAGTAAAGGAAAACTTCAAGAAGAGGAGACACACTTGACACTACTTATTCCAAAACAGGAATAAATACAACACTTAATGCGGTGGTTATGAGGCTTAAACGATGATACACATAAGGTCCTGACCCAGCTAGCAATACACATTAATTAAATCGAACTGCTTGTTCTGAATCAAATTTCTCCAACTCACCGAGCATTTGAATAGTCCAGGCTGGCCTGGTCAATCCGGTTCCTGAGGATTCCAATGTCAGCGGACACCATGTCATCTAAAGCCTGTAACTCCTTCTGGATCCGCTTCAGTTTCACGGTCTCTGCCTGAGTTCTTTTAGATCTAGAAAATTAGGAACATGAATGGGAAAATAAAAACATTCTAAAACCATATATCCATATACAATGTAAATGAAAAAAGCAAGCTACTGTATTTACAATATGAATATGATGTATAATTTTTTGAAATTAGATAATATAAGAAAAATAGAAATAAGTCAAATGCCCGTAACATTTTGGTGTATCGCTAAGATTTGCGCTTCTTCTCCCTATTGTTCCAAATTTTCTATTAGTATGTACTAGAGGCCTGATGCACGAAATTCTTGCAAGGGGCTTGGCTCTCTCAGCCCCAGCTTCGTTCGGAAGGTCGTCTGGAAGGACATTTGGCTGTCCAGTCTAATTTGCATATCACGCTTTTATTATTATAGATGATTTTCATATACAGGGGAAAAGACTGAAAAATTTATCAATCAATAGTTCACTCATAGGTATACTCATTCCATAAGGATGAGAATATGCACTAAAAGAATATATCTGTATTCTCTTTACATTGAAACATCGAACACAACTCTCCAAATCTCTAGCCCATTTTCATTGGATACCTGGAAACCAAGAACAGATGCCTGCATCAAACACGATTTATTTGTCTAGAAACATCTATTTGGTTTTAACTTTCTTAGGACTTGTTTCCCCAAACTGTTATTGCTTTGATTCCCGTTCTTTACGTAAAACTACAGGTCCGCAAAATTTTTCTTTCTGGGTCTCAAAGCCAAGCAGTTTTTTTCTTGTTTAAAAGCACATCCAGCCTCACCATCTCTCAGTCCCCTCACCACCCCCAAGTACATTACAAACTTAAAAAACAAAACAAAGACAAAAGCCAACCTTTAATAATGATTTCACTCATTTCAAAATTTCACACACATTTTCACAGGATAATAAAACTCTCATATAAAACCACATATTGCAAGTAAAGAGCCCTGGCTGGTGTTGCTCAGCGGTTAGAGTGTCAGCCTGTGCACCAAAACGTTGCACATTCGATTTTCAGTCAAGGGCATGCACCTGGGTTGCAGGTTCAATCCAGTTGGAGCATGTACAGGAGGTAACCAATTGATGTGTCTTTCTCACATGGATGTCTGTCTCTCTCTCTCTCTCTCTCTCTCTCTCTCTCTCCAGCTCTCTCTATCTCCCCCCTGTTTTCCCTGTCTCTCTCTCCCCCCTGTCTCTTTCCCCCTCCCTCCCTCCTTTCTACTCTCTATGAAAACCAATGGAAAAAATACCCTCGGGTGAGGATTAACCAAAACAATTTTAAAATAAAAAATAATAAAAGGGCAGAAAGAGTGGGTGAGGGATGGGAAAAGCAGTTCCAATGGGAATGTTCTTGTTTGAGGCCAGCACAACACAGTAAAAAAAAGGGGGTGGGGGTGTCGGACACACTAACATTGGGAGGTGAGAGAAAAAGTGAACTGCACACAGTATGGGACAGTGCTCCCAATGGTGACCCAAGTCATCAATAAAAGCTTAAATTATATATCTTCTATCAGTGGGAGCAGAGTAATTATTTAAGAAAAATGTCCATAGGAAACATAAGATTTGTGGGAGTATAAAACATTTATATGGAACAATCCGCTCCTCTATATGTTAGATGATAAAGGCCCCTTCATGTCAAAAATGAAAACTTGCATTTCTTAATTTACTTATATTGACAGCTATTTACTGCTCCCTTATGAATGCATAGATGGTTAAAACTGAAAGCACTGACACTGATCCTTAAGTTTTAATTGTACCTGTATTACCAGTAAATTTTCTATGATCTATCCTTAAATGACTTCAGTATCATTTATACAGCATGATTTGTTTAATCAGCCTTAAAGAAAATGCCAGTTTATTAGCGTAGACATAGGAAAATAAATATAAAACATGACAGAGCTGACTGCAGATTGCAAACCATCTCCCCTGGTTCAGGTGCCTCACCTTTCCGCAATAGCTTTAGCCAAAAGAGCTTTCTTACGTTTATTTTTCTCTTCCATTAGCCGCTGTTCTTGTTGGAGGACTTCCCAACGAGACTTTTCTTGCCTAGGGAGCAAAAAAGTGTAAAATGAGTTTCTGAAACACCACCCCACACCTTCCCAGTCTCAGTCCCCTACGTATAAAATTTAATCAGCCAGATTATGTATTTTTAAAAAGTCCTTTTGAAAGGAACCCATCTGCTGCTCATTATTTTGTCCTAATAGAAACAAAGGTTATGATTTGAAGTAAAGAAGGCTTACATACCATAAATTGGCCCTTTGAAATCCATTATATGTATATAACCTAGGAACCCACAAACTGGAAGCCAGAATAATGTGGCATTTTTTAGAAGTACAAAGAAACCTGTGTAAGTTAATTATGTATTATATGCAAAATGCAGAGACAAATAAATAGGTCTGTAGCTAACATCATGTTATATTTTTCAAAGTTCTTTTAAAAATCATTTTAGTGATTTAATCATTAAATCATTTTATAGTCTACATTCTTGGGCGCATGGAGCATATTTGTAATAGCTGTTTAAATATTCCTTGCCTGATAATTCCCATTGTTTGTGGGCTGTTTCTCTCGATGACTTTCCTCCTGGTTATGTATCACAATTTCCTTTCTTTGCATGCCTAGAAGAGTTTTCTTTTTCTCCAGACTGAATGTGCATTTAATTTTTTTAAAAAGTGTTTCAATTACAGTTGACATATGATACTATGTTAATTTCAGGTGTACAACATATTAGACATTTATATACCTTACAAAGTCATCACCCTGATAAATTGAGTACCCAACTCACATAATATATAGTTATTACAATATTATTAACTCTATTCCCTTCACTTGTTTTTACATCCCTGGGACTATTTTTATAACTGCCAATTTGTGCTTCTTAATCCCTTCACCTTTTTCACCCTTCTCCTCAAACCCCCTCCCATCTGGCAACTATAAATTTGTTCTATTAGTTTGTTTTATTTGTTCATTTGCTTTTGAGATTCCACATATAACTGAAATCATATGGTATTTGTCCTTTTGTCTGACTTATTTCACTTAGCAGAATACCCTCTAGGTCCATCCATGTTGTTGCAAATGGCAAGATTTCATTTTTTATGGCTGAGTAACATTCCACTGTACATATGTACCATTCTTTTTTATCCACTCATCTATAGACGGACACTTAGGTTGTTTCCATTATCTTGGCTACTGTAAATAAGACTGTAATGAACATGTGTGCATGTCTTTTTCAAATGAGTGTTTTGAATCTCTTTGGGTAAATACTCAGGAGTGAAGTTGCTGGGTCATATAAAGTAATTATTGATAGGTATGTTGTTATTGCCATTTTGTTATCGTCTGATTGTTTTTGAAGTTCTCTGGTTCTTTTCTTGTTCACTGATAACTTTCTAGTGTTGTGTTTGGATCCCTCTCTTCATTTCTTGTATATCTCTTAGAGATTTTTGCTTTGTGGTTACCATATGCTTCATATTTACCAAACTATATTTATAGCAGCCTATTTTTTTTAAGAATATATTTTTATTGATTTCAGAGAGGAAGGGAGATAGAAGCATCAATTATGAGAGAATCCTTGATTGGCTGCCTTCTGCATGCCCCACACTGGGGATTGAGCCCATAACCTGGGTACATGACCTAACTGGGAATAGAACAGTGACCTCCTGAGCCATGCTGGCTGGGCTAGAGCAGTCTATTTTAAGTTGATGGTTCCTTAAGTTCGAGCATGTTCTAAAATCACTACAATTTTTACTATTCCCCTCCATGTTTGTCTTTGTCATTCTTTTTTACTTCTTCTGTGTGTATTTATGTGTAATTTAATTAAACATGGTCTTTGTACTTTTTCCTTTTAACCTTTCTACTTAGAAGAATAGATTAACTCAGTGAGAACCTCAACAGTTGATTGATCCACTGCTTTTACTACATTTGCCTTTGTTGAAAATTTTCTTTCCTGTATTCTCTTATTTATAGTTTTGATCTTTTCTTTTCTACTTAAGTCCTTTGGACATTTCTATTTCTATTAAACCAGTATTTCAACTGGTTTAATAGTGATGAACTCCTTTAGCTATTTCTTGTCTGGGAAACTCACTCTCCTTTGATTCTAAATGACAGACTAGCCGGGTAGAGCAACTTTTGTTGTACGTCTTTGCCATTCATCAATTTGAATATTCATGTCAATCCCTTCTGGCCTGCAACATTTCTGTTGAGAAATCACCTGACAGTCTTATAGGAGTTCCCTGGTACATAACTGCTTTTCTCCTGCTACTTTTAAGATTCTTTGTCTTTAACCTTTGGCATTTTAATTATGTCTTGCTGTGGTTTTCTTTGGGTTCATCTTATTTAGGACTCTGTGCTTTCTGGGCTTGTCTATTTCCTTTGCCAGGTTAGAAAAGTTTTCAGTCATCATTTCTTCAAATAGGTTCTCAGTCCCTCGTTTTCTTTTTCTTCTTCTTCTGGCACCCCTATGATGTGAATGTTGATACACTTGATGTTGTCCCAGAGGTACCTTAAACTGTCCTCATTAAAAAAAATTATTTTTTTTGTTCCAATTTGGTGTTTTCTGCTACTTTATCTTCCAGATCGCTGATTCAATCCTCTGCTTCTTACAACCTGCTGTTGATTCCCTCTAGTCATTTCAGTTATTATTCATTTTTTTTATGGTTTCCTTCTCTTTGTTGAGGTTCTCACTGAGTTCATCTATTCTTCTTCTAAGTTCATTGAGCATTCTATAGCCAACTAGTTTTGAACTCTGTATCTGGCAGATTGCTTTCTCCATTTTGTTGCTCTTTTTTATGTTCTTTCATTTGGGAAATGCTTGGCTCATTTGTTTGAATCCTTGTATTTCTATGTATTAGGTAGATCTGCTGTCTCCCAGGCTTGGCAGAGTAGCTTTATATAGTAGATGTTCTCTGAGGCCCCATGGTGCAGTCCTTCTGTTCACCTAAGCCAGGTGCTCCAGGGGCATCCCTTTTGTGGGTTGTGTGTGCCATCCTGTGGTAGTTGCTTTTGGCACATCAATGGGTGGGACTGCCCGCCTGGCTTACTTGCTGTGAGGATTAGCTGTGACTACGGAAAGCTGCTGTGTAGAGGCTTATCCCATAGAGAGGGAGTCTCTTCAGGTGGGCTGTGGTGCCAGCTTAGTTCACCCTTTGTGTGTGTCTTTTGTGGAGCTGGTTGGGTGATGCTCTGGTGTGGTCTGAAGTTGGTCACCAGTTGTGTTGGTTTTGAAGCCTCTTAGGAGGAGCTCCATTGCAGGCCAAGGTCAGACTCCTGTGGCTTGGGGCCACCTGGTCAGAGTTACAAAGTGATCTGCAGTTGGTTGATGCTTGTGCCAGACTTGGAGGTGCTTGGGAGAGACTATGCTGCAAACCAATGCCACTGTCAGTAGTGTCAGGCTTGGGACCCTTTGGTGGACACCATAATTTGAGCTGAGGCCAGCCAAATGCAAGTTGAGATTAGTCATCACTTGTGTCAGGCTTGGGGTTGCTTAGCAAGAGGTACAGAGCATGCTGAGGACAGCTGCTGCCTGTTTGGTTTGTGAACATTTAAGATTTTAGGAAAAGTCCACAGTATGAGCTGAGGCAGTCCATGAGTTGAGTGAGGTGAGGTCTCAGGGATTCACCAGGGTGGGGCGAACGGTGATAGCTTAGATTGGTACCCGTATGTGCTGGGCTCAACAAAGGAACAATGGCACCTGCCAGCGTTTCTGTCCGCAGAGCGAGCTGGCCCCTGTCCCTCTAGTCCTCATTTGAAGCTAGGCAATTCACTTACTCCTTGCATGTCCCTGGCACTTTAGTAACTCCATGCACAGGCTCCTCAAGAAAGCGTGGGCCTCCAGTAGCCCTCTGTCTCACAAGGGTGCAATCCCTGGTGATTTTCACAGCCAGATGTTGTGGGGACTCCTCTTCTCAGCACTGGTGCCCTGGGCTTGAGAGATGACCTAAGGTTAGGACCCCTACTCAATAAGGAACTCCCACAGCTAAGATAGCCCTCCTGAGTCTTATTGCCACACCATGAGTGCGGGACCTGCCTGCTCTGTATGTCTCTCCTGCCAATCTTTCTCTTTGTATCTTTAGTTAGAGTTCTGTTCAGTTCATTTCCTTTTTAAAAAAAATATATTTTTATTGATTTCAGAGAGGAAGGGAGAGGGAAAAGGTAGAAACATCAACGATGAGAGAGAAACAGTGATTGGCCACCTCCTGCACACCCCACATTGAGGATCGAGACCTCAGCATATGCCCTGGCCGGAATCAAACCATGACCTCCTGGTTCATAGGTCAACGCTTAACCACTGGTGGGCTGTTCAGCTAATTTTCAGGTGGTTCTTGAGGGTGGTTGTTCTATAACTTAGCTGTAAGTTTGATGTGGTTGTGGGAGCTGGTGAGCACAGCATTTACTTACTCTGCCATCTTACCCAGAAGTGACTCTATAGAGTTTTCTATAATAAAAGTCTGCACCATGAAACACCCTTAGAACAATAACCAATGTTTATTTCATTCATTTTCTTTCAATTTGCTCACTTCTTTCCAGCTCTTAAACATTTGTAAACAAAGTAAAAAACTATGAACTAAGACTTGAATGGTGGGATAAAGAAAAACTTCAAAGGTCTGAAAACATGAATTGTCTTCCAATCTAATTCTGAAAGAAGTATATTAAAATTTCCTGTAAATTCACCAACTTGATGTCAACTCAAATTAAACAAGATAATGAAAAAGCTATTTGTTCCTATTGTTGACATTTCTTACAGCCGTATACCAAAAATATCTATTCCCAGACTTAGCAATCACTTCCACAATTATCCTTCTCTCCATTCCTACAGCTTCCATATTAGTGCTGGTCCTTTCTCATTTTTATTATCGCAGTCACCTCCTCACCAGATGCCTTAGTTCCAGCTCAGCCAGAACCCTACCCCAAATATTCTGCAACACTGACACCTGAACATTTTCTCACCATTATTCTGATCAGGGCCTCTCTCCTTCAGAGGGCTCGGTGGTCTACTACAGCAGTGGTCACCAACCTTTCAGACCTCACAGACCACCAGTGGTCCGCAGACCACCAGTTGACGGCCACTGTACTATAGCATCTGGGAACTTGCTAGGCAAGGATCCTCTACTCCCAAGTCCTTTTTCTCTTTCTTAACACAATGTATGCGGGAAACATATTTATACATTTTACGTTGATGGTAGTAGAGCACGGGACATGTATTAATACATTTTTTATAGACTAGCGGTAGAATGCGGGTAACGTATAAATACGTTTATTTTTATACTTTTTTTATTGCTCTAAAGGGATGCTAACATGCAGATATACGACTTCCAAAGGACAAAATTTGGGTCTCTATCACATACAATGGTGAATTATGTATGTACTTCCAGGTATAACGGTAATCAATCTATTCAACTGCAAAAATGGCCCATGCCACCTGTTAGCGCGCGATAAAAACTACCCGCAAACAATGTGTTAATTCTTTACTATTCTCTGGCCTGATCTTTGCCTTTTCCAGAGGAGTGAGATATCATTTCTGAACAGTCTCTGGAGTAAAGCTTTCCTTTCCCGTTCTTAGAGCCTCAGAATTCCTCCTTTTCAACAATAGTTTCTGACATTACATGTCTTCAACGAAAATTCTCCCAAGTACCTAAGAAAAGAATAATTTTCCTCATGACATGCAATCTAAATTGCTGGCTCAATTCAAACCCTTCCCCTATTTGTCTCAGGCCTTTGTTGGTAAACTATTTGAATGTATGCATATGTTCAATTTTGCTCTCATAATTCACACAACTAAACATCTCCTGTCAAAGTAAATAACATATGATTATATGAATTTACAAGTCATAGAATGGCAATTTCCATAAGAATGTGGTTAAACTAAATTCTGGAGGTGGTTGCAAACACAAACAAATTAAATAAGAATAAAGAGAAATCTAATGACGCATGTGGATTTTTTTGATCATCCCTACATGTCTTTTCACAAGTATCCTTTTCTGGGCCAATGAAGATGCAGCCTGGAAGCTGAAGAATGCATTAAATTTGGGAAGGAGTACATATAAGAAATGCTTCTGTGAGTGTCAAGGTTATAGACTCTGGATTCAGAGAGACTTTTATGTGAGTCCCAGCTCTACTACTTACTAGTTGTGTTTTGGCTTTGAGAATACAATAGCTATTCTAAGTCCAAAATAGCTATAAAGTGAAAATAATGAACTAAGTAACATTAAACATAAAATGCCTAACACTGACTGACTTATAATATATTTAGGTAGTAGCTCTTTTTTGACAATTTGTTTATCACATTTCTAGGTTAGAATATGAAAGAGAGAAAATGTTAAAACTACGTTTCTTCAAAACCTAATAGGAAAAAAAAGTAAAATGAAAAATATATCATGGATATATAGACTTACTAACAATTCCACTTTCTTTTTCTCCAATTTGCAATCTGGTTTTAGAGGTACAACCTCAGCACTTATGTGACCATCCCGGGAATTCTCAAGTCCCAGTTCCCTTGGTTGACTTTCTGTGCCCTGTGGTTTTCCATTGCCAACAGGAGAGTTGAGTGTAAGAGGATTAGGAGCAGTAGGGGGAGAAAAATGTGGCTTTTGATGATTGAATCTCTGTTGTGGTGCAGAGAGCAGCTGCTCTGGAGGTAATCTGACTGATCCACCTTGCAGTCCAAGTTTTTGGCTTTGCTCTTGAAGGACTTTTTCTCGCTGAAGTTGTTGTCGACTTTTCTTCATAGGGGGACGCCGGTGTGGTTCAAATGGATCTACATAAAAGAAAATGAAGGAAAATTCCTTTGTGTGAACAGCAAATAATTATAATTTCTCTAAGAAAATAAAGGATTAACATTAAACTTTTTAATAATCCCCCTGCTCTAGCTTAAAAGCCTAAGGAAAAACAGCATCTTCCTGCAGAGTTTAGAAAGTTCTTCAATCTACTGTTAACATTTAACAAAAACTGTCCTACCTCTCAATTTATCTTCAAGGAGAGCTATCTGTCTGTGAGTAAGGCCTTAGAATGCAAAACAAGGCTTTTCAACTTGATCTGATTATTATCAAAAGTATCACCTATTTGACCAAGATACATAGACAAATAAATTCTCTGATATATCTTCAATTTGATTTATGGTTGTGTCTACTCTCCTGAAATAAAATGGTGGTTGAATTTTCAAATGAGCTTCACCTTTCTTAAATTTTCACAGATATTAAGGCTATCTGATACATAAGAAGATGCTATACACAAAATATAACTACATGAAGTCCCTTATTTCTAGTTTACCCTAAATTGTTTTCTTTCATCTTCCAGAACAGTCCAAGGTTGTGTTCCCCAAAGTCTAGTTAGACTTTAATCAATGTATGCAACCTAACTTTAATAGCAGCCTGATCAGAGCAATAGAGGAAGATAAAACAAGTCATATTATAAAATGAGTAATAATACTTCTATTACACTTTTTATATTGTCCATATTAGTATTAACCTTGTAGGGAAGATAACTGGAGAATTTAACTCACATTCATACTGTATTTAATAAATTTTAAAATGATATTCTTTATAAAATACCAGGAAATGAAATTACAAGTCCTTGTAAATGAACTCAAATAGGGCTTTTAAATTCTGCATATTGACCTTTGAAGCAATACAAGCTTATTATTTAGATTCTCCAAGGGAGAGTTCAAAGCTCTGGAGTCACAGTTCCAGAGTTGCTTTTGTCCAGTTCAAGCAATTATTTATTCCATACCTCAGTTTCCTTATCTGTCAAACTGGTTGAAAATTACCTCTCCACTTAACTCATATGGAGTTGGTGTAAAGATTTAATGAGACAGGTAAAGAAAACATTTTTAAAAAATAGCTGTACTATTTAAAGTAAAATGTTATTGTTGACTTTAGCCAGAAACATAAAGTAGCCTCCTGAATCTTGGAATAGGAACTTATTCTTGGCTACTGATCTTTATTCACACCACCAGAAAATATGATTGAGCTTGCTTACTTCCCAGTTATAGTCTTCAGCTGAATTAATAGTGACACTCAAATTCTGTACATTAGCTTCCATTTCATTTTGCATTTTCACAGAACCCACTATACGATTTATAACGCCAATTTTTAAACTCTCAAATAACAAACAAATCTGGCCACTTAGAAATAAAAAAATGACCAAAAAACTCCTGGAACTAATAAGCCATTATAGAAAGGTTGCAGAATACAAGAGTAATATACCAAAGTGAATTGCTTTTCTATGTACCAACAATGAACAAGTGGAATTTGAAATTAAAAACACAATACCATTTACATAGCACTCAGCTTTTCTTTGGCTTATTTGTATTTTTATAAGTCTAACAAAATATGTACAAGAGCTATATGAGAAAAACTACAAAACTCTGATGAATGAAATCAAGGAACTAAATAAATGGAGAGATATTCCACATTCATGGATATGAAGACTCAATAATGTCAAGATGTCAGTTCATCACAACTTGATCTATAGATTCATTGCAATACCAATAAAAATCCCAGCAAATTATTTTGTGGATATTGACAAAGTGATTCTCAAGCTTATACAAAGAGGCAAAAGACCCAGAATAGCTACACAATATTGAAGAATAAAGTTGGAGGACTGACACTATAAAGCTACAGTAATCAAGACAGTAGGTATTAGCAAAAGAATAGACAAAATGGAACAGAATAGAGAGCCCAGAAACGGGTTCACATAAATATAGTCAACTGCTCTTTGACAAAGGAGCAAAGGTTAAGTACAATGGAGAAATTTCTTTTCAACAAATGGTCCTGGAACAACTGGACATCCACATGTAAGAAAATGAATCCAGGCACAGACCTTCACCCTGCATAAACATTAACTCAAAATAAATCAAAGACCTAAATGCAAAATTCAAAACTATAAAGTGCCTAGAAGATAATATAGGAGAAAACCTAGATGGCCTTAGGTATGGCAATGACTTTTTAGATACAACACCAAAGGCACTATCATGAAGAAGATAATTGGTAAGCTGGACTTCATTAAAATGAAAAACTTCTGCTGTGCAAAAGACATTGTCAAGGGAGTGAGAAAACTCACTGCAAGAGACATATCTGATAAAGGACTTTTAAATTTCTGTCAATCAAATGGGTATGAAGCAGTATTTCATTATGCTCTTGATTTGCAATTCTCTGCTTATTGATGGTGATAAGCATCTCTTCATATTTCCTTTTCATGTCTTTTTTGTCAGCTTTTCTTTGGCTTATTTGTATTTTTATATATCAGCAACAACTGGAAAACATAAAGCATTGTAGCTGCACTGCTTTTATATTTCCAAATTTTTCATCTATCTATATAAAACCCTAATATGCAAATCAACCGATCAGTGGAACAACCTGCAGAACAACTGGTCGGCGGGGGGTGGTGCCAGCATGTGGGCGGTGCCAGGCCAGCCAAGGCGGGTGCCAGCGGGGGCTCCCCGATTGCTCCACCAGTCACCCCACAGATCGGCCCAGATTGTCGGCCAGGCCTAGGGACCCTACCCTATATATTGAGAACAGTCTCTTAGATTTAAAAATTAAAACCTGGCAAGGCTACTCTAACACTGAAAAACAGGATGATGCAGTGATAACATGCATGGACTCTGGCTGGCACATTTTGTGGTCAGCCCTGATTCTGACACTTATAACTGTGACAAAGTCAATTACTCAACTTCTCTCTGCTTCAGTTTTTCCACCCATAAGATGGGGGAAATGGTACTAATGCCTTATAAGGATCATGTTATATACTACTTTTTATAATCAGGGCAAAAAAATGTAGCTGCCCATATAACAGCAAGATGCCTTTCACCTGTATGAAAAGTATGGTCACTGGTGTATGCAGCATCATGGATTGTGAGAGGTATATCTGACTGCCCATTTAGGCCCGTAAACCAGCAGTCAGACATCCCCTGAGGGGTTCTGGATTGCGAGAGGGCACAGGCCGGGCCAAGGGACTCCTCTGCCCCTCCCACCCTGTGCACAAATTTTGTGCACCTGGCCTCTAGTTATGAAATAAGTCATACATCCTATAATGTCTCAAATGTCTCTCTCTCTCTCTCTCTCTCTCTCTCTCTCTCTCTCTCTCACACACACACACACACACACACACACACTCCATCCAGTATGGATTATAAAAATACAACACAGTTTAACAAATAAAACATGGCTACAGTAGATATAATTGCTGTTTAAGGATAGAACATTACCCCCTTTTTGGAACACAAACAATAACTATTTCGGGTCTTGCAAGTCTTATGACTTGCTTTTGCTAAATGAAATAGAAGTGACACGTCATTTATTGGTGGAAGTATTTATTGCCAATGCTTACTTCCCAATCTTCTCTTGCCATGGTGAACTCCTATAGGACAGTACCAAGGCATTGTGTGGAGTGACTATATGGAGTAGAGTCACCTGCCAACCCATGTTAGACAGAAAGCTGGAATAAAAATTTTTTAAAACCTTTATTTTTTTTTACACAATTGATACGTTAGGGCTATTTATTACTGCCGCTTAAGTTGGTAATTAATTTTATAAGTACCACTACCTTTGAAGCTTCCTATTCCACTCCTTGCTTCCCCCAACCCTGAATTTTGTGTTTCATTCCCTTGACTTTCTTTATAGACCTCCTATATTCCTAAAATATACAGGCTTTATATGATTTTGACCTTCCATAAATGGTATCAGACTATATATTCTCCTGCAACTTGCTCTTTTCATACACTGTATTTATGAAAGTTATACATGTTAATGCATGTGTTCATATATTCCTACTAGCTATATAGTAGTCCACTGGATGATTATACCACAATTTATTTATCCACTTCCTTGTTAATGAACACTTGGTTTATTCCCAGATTTTCAATATTATAACGAAGAGTGTTGAGAACATTCTCAATCTCCACCATTGCACATACGGGTTTTGCTAGCGTTGTTATCCTTATTTTTGCTGGCAACCAACTTAATTTTCACAGGTTATTTAATTATAATTTTATGGCTGGAGAATAGTTGGAAGAAACCTTAAAAAGTAAAGATCCAGCTCTTCCAGCTTTACAAATGAGAAATCCAAGGTCAGATGCAGAACTAGATGGTCTGACAATCACTGTGTTTGGTTATGAGTACACAAAGATGCTATACGTATGCAAAGACGCATCTTTTCTCTTCTTCAAGGACCACAGACCAGTCAGTTGGTGTGTATGTTCTAACATCTGGCTATGAAATGATACGCTTTGAAATTAAGGTCCTCCCACTCTATCCCAAATGGCAGAGCTATTTAAAAATGTTCTTCTACATAATCAATCTGTTATTTAATTTAGACTTCGACATGAAGTCTTCTTTCCCCCAGCAAAGTCACCTCTCCTAACACATAATCTCTGTGATATCTTCCCAAAGTGCACCCAATCCCCAGCAGTGTGAGGTTCCTGCTCTGAGGTAGCAAGCTCTTGAACAACATCTACTATCACATTTTTTATAGTTTGTCTCCTCAGTAGACTAGAAAGTCTTTGGAGGCAGGGATGAGGCCATGTTCATCTTTGCATCCTAAATGCAGAAGCCGATGTCTTTAACTTCAGGTCAGACAAGAAGCAGACGTACTTGCACACTGTACATCTGAATAAGTGAATGGATGAGCAAGATAATTTGATAACATCAAGCAAGATAGAGTCAGTTAATTAAACACTGTAGTATGACTTTCATGATATAGTTTTTAAAGCCCTTTGGACCAGTCAAATTTTCCTCAATCTATTTAATCTTCACTGGCCCTATGTTACTAATTTACTTCCCTTTCTGATTGTCAATCCTAGAGTATCCTCACATCTATACTAAAAAATGCAGAGGCCTCATCTGAGCAACATGCAATTTTCTAAAAAAAACCAAAACTCTAATAAAAGGCATGACAGGGTTTTCATTTTTCCCCAAAGCACAGTAAGTTGTGTACCAAGAGTAGTAGAAACTCACAGAAGTTGTGTGCATTACCGGGATCACCAAACAGAATTTTATGAAACTTCAACCACCAACAAAGCCTCTTTTATATCACCAAGAGTTCTCACCAAGTATCAACAAACTTAATTCCTTTACTAAAAGATAACAAAATAGTACAAGTCCATTCAGCGATTACTCTATAAAGCCAGAGAGGGAATGACAAAATTCTCGATATCATATATATAGACACACACACTCTAACCTCTCAAAGACCCCTTTGGTTTGCTGACTCTCTGGGTTGGAAAGAACTGCAAGAATCATCTGGCAACCAGAAGTGAATGCAAGACTCCAGATGTATTATGAAAAGCACCGACGTTTTGCATTAAGACCCCCGTGTTCCCCTTTGCTCATAAATTCATCACAATTCTAATAGGGTGAGTGACCCTCCTCCTTCCTTTACTCTCCACCCATGGATCTACACCGCAATCTTCCTATATGGGCCCGCCAGGCTATAGGCCCAGCCCCCTCTCCCAGGTCCCATTCCTTTCCCAGGAAAAAAACCCAAACGCTGCAATGGATCCCTGAACTCTCTTTTCTGAAAGTAGATCCCAGGCCCCTGAGCCAGCCCCTCCCCCCACGGCTCCCAGTTCGTCCACTTCCGGAGCCCCTCAATTCTGTCTTCCCATTTACAGATCCATCCCCCAACACAAACACCTTATCCCCTTCCCCGCCCCCTTCCCCTCAAAAGCAGCAGCCCCGCCCCTTCTCCTAACAGACCCAAGATTTCAATCTCCGCCGGCACGTCCTGTTACCTTTACTCTGCTTTAGTCGCCTCAGTTCCTCCTCAGAGAAGCCAGCCCAGCTCTGCGCCATCCGTCCGGGCTGCCAGCACCCCTAGAATGCCCAAACTTGAGAGTCCCGAGTGCCAACACGGACTACTCAGGCACATCCGGGTTCTTCCCGGCAGCGGCCGATCAACCAATCGATGCATCGAGCTTTGGACCCAAGGCCCCCTCTTCCGTCTATGGCTGCCCACGGGAGTGCCGGACAAACTGCTTAAGGAAATCTTGGCTACGCAGACATCCCTTTTCCCTGAGCTGACTGTTCTCTCTTTCCCGTATTTTATCATAGTTTGGTTAATAACTTCAACAAATAAGGGGACAGATATCAAGGGGAGTCAGGGTGGAGATAAACAGGCAGTTAGGAAGTGGCTACGAGTCAGTGGCGCGAAAGGGCGGACAAAACTACCTGGGGGTGGGGAGAGGGGTCCTCGTTCAGTTCACTGGGGCGGAGCCCTCTACCTAGTGTTCTAGAGGTGTGTGCTCTGTGGCTTGTTGTAGCGGTTCCTTTCCAAACTTCGCTGAAATTCCCCTGCAGTTTGACTCGAGAGAATGTTCAGATTTAGGTGTTTAATTATGAAGGTACATTTCGGAGAACTGGGGTTTAATTAGTGGAAAGGGAGCAGAGACATTTAACAAGGTCTCTGTAGCGTTTCCGAGGTCTGTGGACTGGATTGTGTCCTTGATATTTTATGAATTATTCTTGCTATTCTGCAACCTTTCTCCTAAGAGATGTCTACATCTTCCCCGTTAGAAATGGCTTCTTCTGTTTTTATGGTTCGAGAAGGCAATGGGAAACAGCCCCGGAGGGTGGGCAAACATTCCTGAGGCTCCCCCGAGCCTGTGGTCCCGCTTTCGTGGTTCTGGTTCTACCTCGGACACTTGACCTCTCCGGGCTCCCGTATTCTCATGTTGAGTAACATTTCGAAGATTAAAAGATGCAAGTGTTGAAAAAAAACCATAGAGTGATTAAAAGACCAGTTATTATATTTTCCATATTTCGCTTATATTCAGCATTTTAAAAAAATATGTTTATTTTGGCAAACATTTTAAGATGTTAAATGTAAGCCAAAGAGACTTTCGACACTAATGTGTCAATATTTTTAGACAAATAGAAATGGAGTGGATTGAAACTACCACACAAAGAAAAGGGTTGAAATAAGTATTTCAGATTTAGATAGGTGGTCAGAAGGGAAAGGAATTTCCCTTATAAACTTGGAGCTTTTACATTTAAAAGTGGTTTCTGAGCTCTAGTTACACAAGCGCTTCTTTTTAAGTGTGGACTCATTTCCCCCAAATTTAAGATTTTTTAATGCCACCCAAAAGGATTGGAGGAGACATTAATCCAGTTTTTTTAAATGTAAACTATTAATGTAAGATATAGATTAGCTTCAAAGTAATAGATGGGGATGGGTAGCATTCTGGTAGTTAATTCTGTTTCCCATTTATAGAGTCCGGCCATCTAATTCATCTAATAAAAGTGAACCACGTTGTATGCCACATGTTATATTTCATACATGGATTGTCTTTAGCTCAAGGGGTGAATTTCCAGAATTATCAATAGTCTTAATAGACATGGATACAGTATTATGGTATTTTTAAAGGTTTTGTTAGCCCTGAATGAGAACAAAAGCATGAGCAAGATTGTAGTAAAAGATAACATCATTGGTGTACAATTGTAATTTGTAGTTTGCAAGGTTCTAAGTCTGTTGGCTCTCAGGGGGAATGGGTTTCTCCAAATGGTGTATAATGTTTTGTTGGGAGATTAAATTCAAAGAAGTTCTTTGTTCTGTGAGAGTTCTCTGTACCGTGGGTTGAGAGATTGTCTCTACAGGTTGGTTTTCCTGGGCTCTGGAATTTCAGTTGCTTTAAACCAGATTTAAGGTCATTTTTTTCAACTTGTGATATAAATTTGGATCTCACTCCCTTATATGACACAGGCCTCAGGTGTTAGTTTTCTGGTTGTGCAAACTTGCCTAGCTTGCGAGTGATGCAGCTAGGAATCAGACTCAGGCAGTACATCTCTAGAATCTAAGATCTCAGCTGCCCTGCCATTCTGATTTTATAGTATTCCTCTGGCAAACATTCCTTGAAGTTCTTGTGTAGCTCATACGAGCAGAGTGTGAATGACTGACAGTTCTTAACGTTACACCCTGAGTTATTTGCATTTTTAAAAGATGATGCTTTCTCATCCAGTGGAATCTTTCGTAAGTGAAATATCATGTATTCTGACAAGGAGAAATGAGAAGTATTTGTGAAGTGTAACAGAAGCTGTTTTTAGTCATTAACTCACCCAATTTGACTCCATCTTGGAACTTTCCAGCAACTTCTCTTATTCCATTAACAGCCTGAAATGAAAGTTTACCCCTTTTTCTGTAACCTTTGTATCCACTAGGAAAGATGGTGTTTATTTCTATGCAGGAGTCTGTGAAAAAGGAAGTGATACAAGCAACAGCTTGTATTTTACTTTGGGAAGCCTTCAGAGACTTTCCTGTCAACTTTTGGATTCCAGTTTGTTACTTTGTCTTAGAACTTTGCTCTGTCTCCTAGTGCATCTTAGAACTTTGCTCTGTCTCCTAGTGCATAACTGTTAGGCACCTGGGAGAAGTATATGGTAAAGTATTTTTGCTTATGGCTACAGTAGACATAACTAGACCAATGCCTGAGGGGTTCAGTTTTTTGAATGAAGGAAGGAAAGGGTTGCCCATTGGAGGAGCCAGTGGGAAAGTGGATAGGGCAAACATATGCTACAGACAGTGAATACCTAGCACACAGGCACTTGAGTCTTCACTGCATGATGTTCTGGCTTTAGGATGTCTTTTCTACTTAACATTTGGATACAGTTGTGTTTTGATTTCAGAATTCGTCATACTTAAATTCTGACTCTAAGAAGATACTGAAAAACTGAGTTTCTCCTTCCTTTTCCATGCACAATCTTCACTGGAGTTTTAAAAATATATTTTCCAGTGAAGAGGCAATTCCTTTTTCTAAAAAAATCTTTATTGTTGAAAGTATTAAATAGGTCCCCCTTTCTCTCCCATTAACCTCTTCCAGCCCACTCCCGTATTCCTACCCCAACCCCCCTCTCACTACCCCATTCATTTTTCTCTGTCCACAGGTTATGCATATATGCATACAAGTTCGTTGGTTGATCTCTTCCCACACACCCTCCCCTGCTTTCTCTTTGAGGTTCAACAGCCTGTTCATGCTTCTGGGTCTAATTTTGTACATCCATTTATTTGGTTAATTAGATTCCACATATGAGTGAAATCATGTGATACTTATCTTTCTCTAACTGGCTTATTTCACTTAGCATAATACTCTCCAGGTCCATCCATGCTGTTGCAAATAGTAAGAGTTCTTTCTTTTTTATTGGCACATAGTATTCCATTGTGTACATGTACCTCAGCCTAAGTGCTGTATCCAAATCTTAGTTATTGTAAATTGTGCTGCTATGAACATAAGGGGTGCATATATTCTTTCTGATGTTTCAGGTTTCTTAGGATATATTCCTAGAATTGGGATCATTGGGTCAAATGGGAGCTCCATTTTTAATTTTTTGAGGAAACTCCATACTGTTTTCCATAATGGCTGCACCAGTCTGCATTCCCACCAGCAGTGCACTAGGGTTCCCTTTTCTCTACAACCTTGCCAACACTTGTTTGTTGATTTGTTGATAGCCATTCTGACAGATGTGAGGTGATATCTCATTGTCATTTTGACCTCCATCTCTCAGATGATTAGTGACTTTGAGCATTTTTTTCATATGTCTCTTGGCTTTCCATATGTCCACTTTGGCGGTCCTTTGCCCATTTTTTAATTGAATTGTTTGTCTTCCTTTTGTTAAGTTGTATGAGTTCCCTATATATTTTCGAGATTAACCCCTTATCAGATGTATCATTGTCAAATATGTTCTCCCATGTAGTGGCCTCTCTTGTTATTTTGTTGATGATTTCTTTGGAGTGCAGAAGCTTTTTATTTGCATGTAGTTTCATTTGTTTGTTTTCTCCTTAATTTCCATCATCCTAAGAGATGTATCGGTAAACATATTGTTATGAGAGATGTCTGAGATTATGGTGCCTATGGTTTCTTCTAGGACTTTTATGGTTTCGTATCTTACATTTAAGTCTTTTATCCATTTTGAGTTTATTCTTGTGTATGGTGTAAGTTGGTGGTCTAGTTTTTTTGTTTGTTTTTTTTTGCCTGTATCCAATTTTCTCAACATCTATTGAAGAGACTGTCTCTGCTCCAGTGTATGCTCTTGCTTCCTTTGTCAAATATTGAGCATAGTGGCTTGAGTCGATTTCTTGGTTCTGTCTTCTGCTCCATTGATCTATATGAAGAAGCAATTCTTTTTTAATTGTACTAGTATCTCAAGCATTTTTTAAGTGAAAATACATTAAAAGCATTAACTAGAACTGCTCAGCAAAATACCTCTCCTGTTTAACAGTTTCCACCAGTCCCCAGTTTAATTACCATGTTATTCTGCCAGCTTTCTCCAGAAATAATTGACTGGATGAAGTAATTTCATTGGATATTTACAAACACTAGACTTGTAAAGGGGGTTTCTGTCAATTCCCCTTTGGCTTGGAAATGACTGAGGCTGAATTGGCAGTGCACAACTGCTATTTTGGGCTTAGCATATTTTCGCAGGCACCAACTCAGGAAGATGATGGGAATGAAACAGAGGAAGGTAAAATGTTTGGCCTTTACAATCAGTCGTATTGTAATTTTGGCTGTAAGTTTATTTGAAAAATGAGAAAGTAAAGTATTGACTTGGTCTAAGACTCAAAGTAGTTGGATAGTGATTTCTCTGTGAGGCGGTTAAGATAGCTTGTTCCATTATGAATAGTCTGGAATAAATTTGCAAAGCTTTGAGTATCAGTAGTCAAAGTTTAAATATTGGCTTATCAATCATGGTGAAATGAATTACCAAGGTCAGTCTGTTAATGTTATTGATTTAATATTCTGTAATAAAGTGTTTTTGTTTTGGATTAAATAATAAGATTTGATTTTGAAGGCATAATGTCAAAGTAGAGAGCTGACAAGATGAAGATTCGGCTGGGAATTATTTTATCTGAGGCAGCCTACAGGAAATTCCAAGACAATATCAATATAAATG